TAATACCTGATGGGCTAATCTTGCAYCTGCCCACAATCCCTGAGTTTTTATAAGATGGCTTGGCCCAGGGACCACTTAGTGTAAGTGTTGGGCCCATAGAGTCCATGTGATGGGCTCAAGGGGTTCACTGGGCTTTCCAGTGAATTCGGGTAGGCTTTGTAACAGAGGATGGGCCGAACCCATCTGGCTGATGTGTAGATCAATGCTTGGGTCCCACGCCATACAAAGAAGCCCAACTGGGCAGCAGTTTGGAAGCCTATTGAGCACTTGATGCATGTAGGGCCTAAAGCCCATTTCAAACTAGGTTGATTTGATCAGTCACTTAAAGGGGCGGATATGAGGTTAGGTCAGGCCAAAAAGGATTGGGTCTTAACCCTATCCACTCATGGAGACCAAATTCAAATTAGGATTTGAATCTGGTAGCCTCCTGATAAGACCAGGAGTGGGTTGATCTAATCTGCAGATAGGATTAAGAAGACTCCTTATCCAAATACAGATTTGGATTAGGATAACTCCTAATGAGATTATGAAGTTTCTTAATCACTAAGAAAAGAGGAGAAAACCCTAATTTCGAATTACAAGAATTCGAACCCTAAGGGTATTCGCAGAATACACTGCATCTTGAGATAAGATCTCAGAGAAAACCCTAGAGAGAAGAAAGTTGTTCGCCACCTTCTGTTCTAGTTCTCTCCTCCAGTTTCAGCCGCCATCTACTGCTAGTTTGTTTTCTCAGTGAGGGAAAGATCAAGAAAGGTTCTTGATATCAATCTTTGTTGAAAGTTTGATTGTGTGTGGTGCTCATTGCTTCCATCAAGTTCTTCAGAAGAACCTGGTTCGTGGGACGAACACTGCTGGTTCTGCTTCATTATCACTGTGTCATCTTCAGTGGGAGCGGTTCTTGGAAGTTTCTTTGGGCGTGAACACCGACGTTGGGAGATACTATTTCTTCGGATCAGGTATATCCCTTCCCTTCCTTTTGGTTCAGATCTGGTTCGGTTTTGGTTTAAGTCAGATCCTTGAATACTGTATTCTAAATTTAGGGAATATGATTCCCAATTGGAAGAAAGGTAAGAAATTTTTGAAATTCGCCTACCCATTCCGCACCCTTTTGGCATCCATACGGTGGATCTTACCATTCTTTCACCAAGAAGAGTCCAGATCTCTATCAAAACTTCACAGATTTCCGTAAAAATTTCAGAATATGTTGAGAAGGGCTAGGAGACAACTCCTTTCAAATCTTGCTGCAAACGGAGGTCAAACGAGGGAGATCCAATAAAATCTCTCTTTTTGGGTGCGTAGAAAACAGAAGAGGAGTTCCTGGATAGATCAAAACAGTCCAGGACCACTCGGCAGAGCTGTAGGTTTTCAGTAGATCACGAAGGCAAGATGGATCAAAGAGAAGGAAGATCAAAGAGCAACCCGCTCTGATACCATGTGAACTGAATTCGGATCTAGAAGAAAACAGATCTAGGGGTGTCAAGAATAGTTGACCCCCACCCCAAAGAGCCTCTTCTATATTAAAGATATTAAAGAGATAAAAAGTATGTACAGTTACAAGAATGCCCTTACAAGTCTGAAAGATAAAAAGAACAAATAAAATAATAAGAACTATGATACTGTACGACAAGGACTACTCCAATAATGTACATCAAGATATATCTTCACAGAAGCCTACAATAATATTAATTGAGCTAAATCTATTGATGATAAGAGGTTTGCTTTGAGCCAAGTTTTAAAATGCTGGCATTAATGGAAATGTTAGTCATCTAAACAAAGGCAACATGTCAGAAATGTCAAAATTTCCAATAGAAATATTGTAAAAAATATAGACATCATGGAAACATTGTTAAACAGACAAGGGTTCCAACATTCATTTGGACAAGGATGGGTAAAAACAATTGGTCCAAGAAAAATGAATTTAGTTTTCAAATGTAGAAACGTCAACAAGAAAGATTATGAAATTAGTAGACACAATAAAGAGGATACAGATTAATATAGCATGCTTACAAGAAACTAAATACAAGGGAAAAAGGCTAAAAAATTAATATCTGTAAACTATGATACTAAACTATCATATTAGGGATAAGTGAATAATATAAATGGAGTAGCAATAATAGTAGATAAAATCTAAAAAATAAAATTGTAAATTTTAACAAGGTCGGGGAAATAATAATTTTAAGTAGACTTGTTCTAGGCATGCACTACAATATTAACGATATTTGGCAATATCCCCATTTGCTAGGTGACAATATGAAATTTTCCAAGGATCTTTTTCTCCCAAATATCCCCGATATTTTGCGATATGCTAGCGATATTTCAGATTTCTTTGATAGACTATATATTTAAAATTTAAAATTTTAGAATATTTCATTGGCTTACTACTTTGATATGACTCACTAACCATCATAACTTTTCCCTAAAAGTAGCAACAGGAAATTGATAATTTGATCATTGGCTTACTACTTTGATATGATTCACTAACTCACTATAATTCAAAAGAAAAAGAAAAATGCATATAACTACAAAAGAGTATTCTCAATCTAATCAAAACATATAATAACAATAAAGACAAAAGTTCAAATGGAAAATAATTGACGTATATAAAGAAGAGAAGATGGCTAAACACCAAAAGGGAGACAAAGAAAAACATTCCTAGTACAATCTCTTAGTTTTTCCTATTTAACTTGTATAGTTCTTTGCTATGGATTTGAGCCTTAAATGTGCAATTATATTTCTTCAATGATCTCTTGAAGGTTTATTAACTAATTCTATGTTTCTAGAAAACTTTCCTATGTTTTAGATTTCCTCAAATATCTTAGCAAAATTTCTCCAACTCTACATGAAGAAATGTTAATCAACATCGAAATTATGAACCATTGTTCAAGGTAAAGAAATCAACATAGTTAGTCATTGTGCACCTCAAGTGGATTTATAAGAAAACATTAAAAGACAATATTGGGAAAACATAACTGGACTACAAAAAATCCAAATGAAGAGAAGATTTTTATAGGAGATCAAAACAGGCATGTGAGGAAAGGAAGTAGATACCCAATACGATAGGGTGCAAGGAGGATTTTGGTTTAGGGAGAGAAATGAAATAGGAGAAACAATTTTAGAATTTACAATAACCTTTTTCCTGGGCAGAATTTACAATAACCTATGACATAACAATAGTAAATACATAATTTAAAAAAAAGATGAATGCTTAATGACATGTAAAAGTGGGACAAAGTCAAGTTACATAGATTTTTTTACTAGAACAAAACAAATAATGTGTAAACACTGAAAAATCATTCCAAGCAAAAAACTTAACTACACAACATAGTTTGATGGTAGTAGATGTGCCCATTAAAAGATGGAAGAAACAAAGAAAGGGAAATAGTTACCCAAGATTTAGGTGAGCAAATCTAGTAAGGTCCTTTCATAAAAGAATGATATTGCCACCAGCATTCATGTGGTGTGACTGGTGTCTATACATACAAGCACAGATGCATGTATTCATACATATAATGAGAGGGAGAGAGAATATACATGTGCATATTTATGCGATAGTTGAAGAAGAGAAGAGGAAATTATGGAAATCCCCTTTTTAAGTAGGCAGGTTATAAGAGGTTCACTTGCATAGGTAATGTACAATGAGAAATTTTCCTTTGAATTTATAAAGCAAAATGTAATAAAGAGAAAAGAGCAGAAATGGTTTGAGGCTGATATGTTATTTCCATTTAAATACTACAACATGAGTAGAAACAGCAAAAAACAGTGCATCTCAAGCTATGCTCGTTTTCTATTTTCTGGATAAGTGAAAAAGAATTTACCAAAGAGGAGAAAGAAAGGAATAAGAAATACAAAAGGAAAAGAACAATGTACCCTTGATCATCATTTATTTGCCGTATAAAATCAAGTAGGACCTGCATCGGATGCAAGAATTAGAAGATGGAACTAATTGGGTGACACCCAACAGAAAACATGAAACTATAAAAGCAACTTTGAGAAATGCAACATGAACTACGGGGTGAAGATAGATTAGAAGTTAAAAGAAGTGAATCACAAGCTATAGCATCCTGATACCTTAAAATATTCAGAATACCTATGTCAACAATGATAAGTTACTAACTCCAGTATCAAATATTGTTTACAAGTTTCAAGCTTATGAACATTTGCAATAAATGCAAAATTTAATACTCGCCCAAGAGGCCATCAAGAACCCACCAACAACAAAAACATGACTTCCAACAGTTTGTAAACTCACTATAGTTAATTGATACTGGTTTTGAGGGTAGTTGCTTTACATGCTGTGTGCCCATTCAGCCCAGTTTCTCTACATAGTCTCATGTTTATAAGTTAACAAAGACTCAATTGTTATGTCCTATTTTATCCCATTTACTGTGCCTTTTAAGATGTCAAAATGGGGATAACAATTGATAGTGGGTGTGAGGTTGGACGATTGTACTATCTGGATGGTGGTGGTTTGTAGAAAGCATTGCATACTATACTAACTCCACCAATGTCATTCTTGGTTGGGCCATTCATCTCTTCTCATCCTAAAGCAGTAAGTTTCAAGTCCTTGTTAACTTAGTAGACATCATAGTGTCATTTGCTCCAAAAAGTGATAATAGAGTCTCAAGTCCTTGTGAACTTGTTCATTATAATCTTTGGGGTTCCAATCATGTTGAATCATATAACACATTCAAATACTTTGTAATGTTCATGATAATTATTCAAGAATGACTTGGATTTATTTAATGAAAAAGCATTTTAAGTTGTTTACTATCTTTAATTCTATGTTGAAATTCAAAATCAATTTGGTGTTTTTATGAAAGTGTCTCTGTAATCCTGATTTTATATCATTAATAAAATTTCACTGTTATTGATCAAAAAAAAAAAGTGTTTCTTTCCAATTACGCAATGGAATATTTGCATGAACCTTTTCAATCCTATTTTGATTCTTATGGGATTATTCATCAGTCTTCTTGTTCATACACACCACAGCAAAATGGTGTGGCTAAACAGAAAAATTAACATTTAATTTATGCAGCTTGAAATCTATTAAATCAGATGTTAGTGCTCAAAGTTTATTGGAGTGATGTCACTCTAACCTCTTGTGTCATTATAAATCATATGCCTTCTTTCATCCTTGGTGGCAAGTCTCCTTCCTCTCTTGTTTTTCCCTCTATACCTTTGTTTTCTCTCCCCCCTCAGATTTTTGGTTGTGTATGTTTTTGTTATGGACGCCTTCCTCGGGAAGACGTACCATCGCCGCCGGCAGCAACAGGCCCCGGGCCCACCGCCAGCAGCAGCAAGGATTCAGTGATG